CACTGCAAAGTATGTTTAGTAGTTAGTTAGAGAATGTATCAGGAAATGACATTACGCCTGCCCAAACGGCATTTAATCTGCACTAGATGATTCATTGCTATAGATTTTGGTTTTGAGAAACAGCTGTCTTACAGAAGAAATTCAACATGTGTGGCTTTTCTTGGCATGGAAATACAATGGCATACGGGATAGGCTGCTCTTTTTGCATTTCTGCCTGTCGTACTGCAGTGGACTTGGCAGGGAAGAATGGGTTGTTCTAGAAGGTGCTTGAAATGTGATGGGGGGAGGCCTGACAAATGGGGTAGGATGCTTTATGTGATGGGAAAGGGCACAATGCACCTTGGCAAATAAGTGAGTCAGAGGGTTGGTCATTGTTCCTTTCTCTGCTGGCCTGTATGCCTCTTCCTCTTCCCCTTGTGTCTCCTGTGTTTTCCACTTGTGGTCATCCTTCTCAGCTCTGCTACAGAACTAATGCCAGGTTTTGTTCTAGGGTGGCCTCTTACACATCACCACAGTAGAGGACTGGGGAGGGCACCGAGTTGCATAACACGTGCATCTACTAACCTATGCATGGATGCAAATTGAGAAATAATAATTATTTATTATTACATTAAATTTATACCCCACCTTTCTTCCCCTTGCAAGGAATCCAACATGGCTTGCAAGACCTTTCTCCTTTCCACAACAACTTTGTGAAGTAGATTAGGTTGAAATTCCCAACTTCTCTGGGTAGTTAGGCCACTTGAACCACAGTGCTACCCTGCCTGTCATAGGACATTGCATCATATTGTGGAAGACTATGACCAAGTGGCCTGCCTAGTTGCTGTTGATGGGCAGTTTCAAGGCCCAGTTCTTCCTTCTGTTTGTTCTTTATACCAGGCTTGTACTACACGGGCCTTCCAGTTGAGGACACCCTCAAAACAGGGACTGATAACCCACCAGAGAGAGTTTTGCTCTCTAAAATAAATTACATGGCTACCCTATAATTGTTCCAACTTTTAAAGGGCAGACATGCTCTACAGGATTGACTTTCGCTGAGGAAAGGGAGTGACATGCTCAAACCCTTCTATTTCCTCAGTTGGGACCAGTAGCCATGGCTACCCTTACTTCAGAAGACTTGGTCAAGTGCCTGGGACAGTCACTGTCCTCATTTGTATGATCAAAATAGCCCATCATGGGTTGATTAAGCCATAGTGGGCTGTGACATGTGCCAAGTGTCATTTGCATATTAAGCGGCCAGTTCTGGCTTGTGTGAGTCCAGGGCCCATGTGCTTTATGATGGCTGCTTGAGCCTTTGATTAACCCCAGTCCCTGAGTTTGCAGAATCCCGCAAGCCACAGATTGATGCAGGGCTTGACAGGGAGCAAGTATAGGAACTTTTGGACAGAGGCACTAAGTTCAAAGTTACACAAATTTAGGAATACTTAGGGTTCCATAGGGTCCTGCATTCCCAAACAACAGAAGAATTCTTCTTTTCAGAAATTAGTTAGATGCTTGCTAATGACACTCCTGGCAGCTCTTTGGAAGCACAAAGAGGCTCTTTGGAGACTTAAGAGAATATTGACGAAACAGACTTTTCTTGCCCCCTCTCACTTCTTACTTTCAGAGCTCAGGAACAATTTGCAATGGGATGAGCTCCATTAATATTGCAGAGTGGTTAATGTTTTGGAGTTCTGCTAGAATTTCAAAGCCAGTCAGGTTCTGGGGCTTGTCATGGTCAGCTTAAAGACTTTTTTTTGCCTCTCCAGAAAATACTCTCCAAACCATAGAAGAATGGATGAGATTTGCTGTTGACTGTCCTAATGATAAGTAAGCACAGGGTTAGAATGGAAGTAAAAGCTGCATTGTTTATTTAGGGCTGAGTCACATAGTTCAAAAATTTCTTTTTCAACCATTTGTTGGTTAGATGGGAGCAAAGTAAAATCCCCACAAAAGATTGTTGGGAGTAGAATCAATCTCTCCAAAAAAGCTTTGCTTCCCTGTGAATAGTGTAGGGTTTAAAAAATGAAAAGCAAGAACAAATTAAAATATAGTTGGCCAATTTTGGTAAGTGGCAACCCCCAAATTTCAGAGATAGAGTCTCCCTCACTCTCAGTGGAAAACTTGTGTTCATTTTTTTCAAGGTGAGAACATATTTGAGAAAAGAGAGGGGAGACTTCGTTTCATCCTTAGTTAGGATACATCTGCACTGCAGGATCATGTGGGATCGGTGCTATTTACATAACTGCTTTGATATCTTTAGTGCCAAGAGATTCTAGGGAAAAAGATGTGTCTGCTTTTCTGAGAATATTTCCTGCTTGTTTCCTGTTTCCAGGAGTGGTGCCAGCACAGGATGCAGAGACATCCCTAACAGTTCTGTGTTGTGATTTATCATGCCATATGTTATTCTTACTATTTAAGTTATATTTAGCTTGAACTGTACGTTGAAATGGTACAGAAAATATGGAAGGGATGTGGTTTCTGCTCAATCAAAATATTTATTAAGCTTTTTGTTTTCCATAAAGATCCATAATTTATATATATAGATGTGGTTTCTGGACTACTGTTTGGTTACAATCCCCTTTTGTTTTCAAACATATTTCAAACAATTGCACCATCATTGTTTAATATTAAGGCCTACCAATATTAAGAACAGGAGTTATGAAATTACCAATTCAAATGTTATTTAAGCCATGGATTTATGAGGTGGCCTTATGTAAACCCCTGTTCTTTCAGCTCCAGTTCTCATCCTTCATCTATAATATGAAACTAATAAGGCAGCCCTACTTTTTTTATTTGCAGAGATTTCCGTAACTGTGTGTATGTGAAGTGCTCTAAACAGGTAGAGGATAATCTGTAACCTCTTCTCTCCCCCAAGTTGTATCTTTAACAGCTAAAATTCAGTCATGTAAGTTATCATTATTTATTTATTTGATTCATATTCTTTCTTACAGACAGACAGGGTGGCCATGCTTCCTATTCCAATTGAAACAAATAACTTTCCCTCTCATTTTCTTCCGCAGAACCTTTGTGGATGCTTCCTTCGCCCAGAACCTGGAGGAAAACCTGCTACATGTTAATGGCTGCTGCTGCCGCCGCTGGTTGATCATTGGGGGATTTTGCTGTTCCTGACTGTTCACGGGAGGCGAGACATTCCTGGATGGTTTTCTGTAACTTCTTGTGAATGTGTTAGGGAAGAAAATGCCTCTGCCTTTTGGGCTGAAGCTGAAACGAACTCGACGCTACACAGTGTCTAGTAAGAGCTGCTTGGTGGCCCGTATCCAGCTGCTTAACAATGAGTTTGTGGAATTCACACTGTCCGTGGAGAGCACTGGACAGGAAAGCCTGGAGGCTGTGGCACAAAGACTTGAACTTCGAGAGGTAGGATAGGTGACTGGAGGCTCTTGGCATTCTCCATCCTGGGATGGATGCTCCATTTGAGGGGTGCATGTGTGTATGTATGTGTGCTGTGCAGCAACACAAGAAGCTGCCCCATTTTGGCCTAGTTGTCTCTGCTGCAGCTGGAACTGTTCCTCTAGGGTCTTGGACAGAGACTTGTTCCATCACTTGCTCCCTGCTCCAGGGACTGAGCCTGTAACTCCAGCTTTGGAGCCGGAGCCTTGTTAGTTTGTTACAACAAAAACAAAGAGTTTTGTGATGCCTTAAAGTTTAACAAAATGCAATGTGACATCAGCTTTCCTAGGCAGGAGCTCACTTCATCAGATTCATTAAGAGGTTATCTTAATAACTCGGTGCATTATAGAGGAAGACAGAGATACACACAACACACATACACACGTGCACATACACACATTCTGTCTATCTGAATTTCCTTATTCTACTCCTTTCTCATGTCAACAGCCCTCAAAGCCGTTTGATAGCAGCATGCAGCGCTCCTGTTGAATATTCTGGTGCTGCCTTTCTGGATACCTCATTCCAAGTCCCCTGTCTCCATTAGGAGACTAGGCATTCTGTGGCCACTGAGCCCACTCTGCCCTCTTTGAACTATTTCTGGGAGGAGAGGGTGGCTTCTTTTGCTGCTTTGGCTCCCCCATACTTCCTCTAACCTTGCCTTTTTCCTTACTTCCTCTAACCTTGCAGTTTTCCTTACTTCCTCTAACCTTGCAGTTTTCCTTACTTCCTCTAACCTTGCATTTTTCCTTAGTATGCTGATACTTTCTCCTATAGTAGCCCTTTTTGGCTGCCTAGTCACCATCAGTCACCATACATCTCACTTTGCTATTACTACACTTGACGTTAAATTTAGAAGTTCGAGGTCATGAGGAGGACATTTCTTGTTCAAGGAAAAAAAACTTAAGCAGTCTGTGTTGCTCTTTCACCATCTCAGATGTCCAGCAGAAAAGAGAAAAGTTTGTTTCACAAACTGGAATTAAAGTGCCAAACTGGAATTACCTTGGTGCACTGGGTGCATTTTATTATATTCCATGTACAGGAATCAGGCCCATTCTGCGTGGCAAAGTAAACGGTTGCATGGCACTCCAAAGGGGATGTTTTGCAGGTTTTTTCCTATGTTGCAATTTATTCCATATGGAAGAGATGCCTGCCACGAAGTGGCTTTGAGTGTGCAGTGAAATTGGAGTGCAGGCTTAGTCAGCTGCAGATGTTTGTTTCTTGACAGTACTTGTACATATCTGTGATTGAAGTTCTTGCCTCCATGTCTGTTGCTTCTTGGGCTTTAACTTTTTCTTTTAGCACAGGGTGGCAGCCAGATTCCCCCCCCCCACTCCATACATTTTATCTGGAATGACTACCTGTGTACTACACTCATCATCTAAGGCCTTTCGCTAAATATTTCCTTTGAGGGAAGCTCAGAGAGGGCTTTTTTAATAGTGTCTCCCTAATTGCAGAGTGCTTTCCCCATTGAACACTGCCTGGTGTCAACATTCTCATTTTTTCAACACCATGTTAAAACTACCCTCTGTACCCCAGCATTTGACAGTATATAACAGGGTTTTAAATGTAAGTTGTTTTAGCAGGTCATGATATTATATTGTAACCTTTTTAGCTGTTTTCAGTTAAAAAGTTAAATGGTTTGTGTTAAAGTTATTAACATTATGCTTATGTTTTGTAATTTCTGTGAACTGTCCAGATAGCTTTGGTTAGGGAAATGGAATAAATGCATAAATAAAGAATTACCAAGAGATACGGTTCCTTTTGAGGGGCCTGTTCTGGCATTGAAAAGTCTGCATATACCTCAGCTCTTTTATCCATTTCCCCATTCCTCATTCATTTTCTTTCTGTTTTAAGTTTGATCAGAAATACTTTGGAAAATGACAGATACTCCTTTAAGTGAAATTTAGGGAGTGCAAATTAGACTGTGGAACTTGTACAGGCATCCCTCCCCCTTAGAACACATTCCTCTATGGATTATTTTTGCAAAAAAAAAATGTTGAAACCATTTGGAATGAAAGATAGTAGAGGAAATAGAGATAGGGTGGAATGCAGCATTCTCAAAAAATCATAAAAATAATGTTTATGACACACTGCACATACAGTGTTTTCCCTCTAACAGTGTTAACTTTAAAAAGTTTTCTCAGATTGTTTTCCAGCCAGGAATCTTTATCTTTAAATATCTCAAATGTTTGGCCACATTCCAGACATTAGTTGTTTTTAAGGTAGCTACCTGAGACCAGTATTTTTTCAAATGCAGCAACCACAACCTTTGCCTATCATTAAAAAAACAGCCAAGTAACACACACACACACACACACACACACACCTCCTAGCCTTCTCCAAGAAGTTTACAGCAGTGTACACTTACAACAAACCTATGACCTAGTAGGTCAGGCTGAGGGAAAATGACTTGTTCAACGTCAACGAGTGTTTGAAATCAGGTCTTCTGGGGTTTAACCCAACACACTAGCCACTGTTTTTACAGTAACACCTCTCTTCTTTTCGTGGTCTCCAAAGTTACCTCTCATATTATTTCTGCAGAAGGGAGGACGAGATTATGTGGCAGTTCCTCCACAGTTGCCCTCATTTCTGAGAGGGGCAACACAAATGCTGGAAGAATCTTGCATAGGCTTTTGGAGCAACCATATTGCTGTGGCGCTCATACTGAGAATATCACAGGCAAGGATGGAGAAAGAATGGGTGTTGTTGGTTCCCAAATATTAAAATTGGGTAAATGAGGCACATATTAAAATTGGGTGAAAGGCACCAAGAAGGAGGAACCAGGCGCTTGAAGAAGGTGGAGGAAATGACTGCTTGAAAGAGGAATATGGATAATGCGTTAAGACTGTAGAGCAAGACAATAGCAGTAGGCAGCTACAGGGATGAGGGAGATAATGTAGAAAGAGGGAAGAGGGATTGCTGGCAGAGCTGGCCTAAGACATTTGCTGCCTGAGGCAAAAGACAGGATGGCACCTTCTCCTATCCAAGTATGAAACCTAACTGGAATGGCAATTTAATCTTTTTTTCAACACTTCCATTGGGACAGCAGCTGCCAAAGCCTCTCTCAGGGACTGCAGGAAGACCATGGGGCAAGCCACAGGGCCCACAGGTCTCTCCTTCAAAGACCTTACTGGCATCTCCCAGCATCTTCAACCTTAGGATTGATGGCCCTACTATGCCTAATGGCCGGGCTGCCTTGATGCCTTAAGTTTATTGTACAAGCATGCTGACTAGCACTAAATTTGAATCCATTTAACTCTCATGATAGAAACACACATAATAATGTAGTTCTTGTTTTTGAGCATAGTGTAGCCACGTTAAATTCATTGCTTGTGAAAGGCTTAGGAAATGAGAGAAACATGAAGGTTGTTTTAAGATTCTGCACAGCTTATTTCTTCTATTTTGTTAACCCACCCTGAAAAATTACCATCTCAACACCACACCCTCAGTATTTTTTCTTGCATTCATGAAAAATTCCAAATGTTTTGAAAGCTCCATAAATTACATAAAGTGAATAATATATGCTAGTTGATGACACAATTAAGCCTGACTATAGGATGGTGTGTTGCTACAGGAGTAGTTTGTTTTGCCATCAATCACCCCATATATGGAGTTCAGGTGATCTGATAGTCTCTGTTTTGCTTATGATACCCCATTGCTTTTCTTTCTTTGTTAATGTTTTGTGTTATAAAAATCATGGAAAGAGGTAGTTACATAGAACAGAGTTGGCTGAGAAGCATATAGTGTGGTATTTGTAGAATGTGAATTGCAGGGAGTGTAACTACAATCTGGTTCTCTTATGGCACACCCTGGCCAAGAGGCCAAGTGGTAAATTTGTTTCATTAAATTCTAGGAGTCAGTGTGGGCAGAATATAGAGATGATTGAATGGAACACAAGGAAATGTTACTGTCGTAGCCTGTTTCAGGGAATGAACATTCAGGGAAAAATGCATTTGAAAAGTGTTTTATATTTAGGGTCAAACTAGTCCCAATGTAGAACTCAATAGTTTTCTACTTCTCTCAGCCTCTTCACTCCATTTTAAAGATAAGAAATAGTCCTAAAATTGTGAACTGGAACGGAAGATGGCTGAGCCTTCAAAGCACACCTGCCATCTTTTGCTAACCCTCTGACTTAGCAGGGTCCATTTGTTGTGTGACAATAAGCCATACTTGAGTGCTGTGTACATAATCAGTGGCAAAGCTTACACTTGTCTGCTCCCCCTACTCCCAGTCCTTTCCTCTTCTGATGCGGCTGTGAGGAGATTGGTAGCATCTGCTTCTTCTCTAGAAGAGTTAGTGCTCAAACTGGAGGAAAACCTGGTTAGTTTAGACTGTTGTTCAGATAAGCCAGGATTAAATGATGGTTTATGATCCTGGCTCATTAACAAACCTCAATTTAAAGTGGTCATTTTTGTCCAGTTTGAACATAATGGGAAAGTCTAGTTGAGGGGGAAGTGGGGAACATGTAAGCCTGAGGCTTGCTACTATTTCTGCATGCAACGTTAACCTGTGATTTTGTATTACATTAAAAATGGTCCCTACAATTCCTGTGTCCTTTTCCCTAAGGGTGTAAAAAACAGTGAGCTGTGTGTGGGTTTTTAATGGATAAATAGGAGGAGGAGTTGCCCTAGCATTAGGCAGAGGAAGGCCGCTGTCTTAGATAGCTTATTTGAGGTGTCATGCAAAGTCAGCCAATTGTTGGTTATTTAGTTTGGTATTATTGCATTTTAATGGCATTGAGGGGAGATACAGCTGTGGGATATTTCATTTAGGAGACAAGATAATTTGACCAGTTTTTGGCTTGTGGAGGAAGGAGATGGGATTTGCTGTTCTGCCTCAGGTAGTGTAGGAACATAGGAAGCTGTCTTGTACTGAGTCAGACCCTTGGTCTATCTAGTCAGTAATGTTGACACTGGCTGGCAGCAGCTCTCCAGTAAGACATTTTTGAACCTTACCTGGAGATTGAA